AACATTTTACTTTTCACAATTAGAAAGAGATGCATTATTTCCCAGCAAAAACTCATAAAACAGTAAATAAAATTTAAAATAATTGCTGAAAAGCTACTATACAACATGGAAAAAAATTTTAAGTGCTCGTGACGTATTTAACTAACAAGGCCATCCTTCCCAAAGCAGCCACGGGAAAAAAATTAGATTGGCATATTCGGATTATGGCAAAGCAGGCAAGGTCTACTATCTAATGGAAGGGGTGCTTTCATGGAGGACATTTTAAGAGAAACTGAATCATATTCGCGCTACAAGTGGAAAAACCACAAAAACAAAAGAAGAAGAGATATCAATTACATAATTACTTTTATTATTCATACAGCTTTTGTAAACAAAATATTGCAAAAACATTTGAGAAAGCACACTAAAGGTATAGGTGCATGTCAGATGCAAGTGTTTCATAAAAACGACTAGATATTTTTAATTTCCAAAAATAACAAAAAAAAAAAAAAAAAATCCAAGCATTAAACTGAAACTATTTCTGTTAGTGAAAATAAAACTAAATATATGCCTTGTTTAAAATCTGACTTACCACTTAGTCATTTAGAAATTAGTTCTCTATAGATTCGAAATAGTCTACAGTTTTACTTATCTGGGAGCAGTGGCATAGCTAGAGAGGGGCAAGGGGGGCATGTGTCTCTGGGCGCAGCATGCAGGGGTGCCGAATTGATGCTATGAAATTTTAGAATGAAATTGTTTTCATTCTTGGCACATAGAAAGGGGCGCAAGATCTCTAGTTCTGAAAACCCTAGCTACGCCTCTGTCTGGGAGTGGAGATGAATTGTAAAAATGAAAAAATTTCTGAAATACTTAAAAGAATCTCTCCTGTAAATAGATGTTTTCATGGCCCGAAGAGCTATTTAAAATCCAGCTTTCGCAAGATAAGAAATAAATTACTTGTGGAGTTTATAAAATCTGTTCTTGATACATCGGAAGCTTGGTTGCTGACTTTATGTGATGAGGAAGGTTTGGGGATTTTTGAGAGGATATTGTGATGCATACTTTGTAGAGTCCATGTGAATGGATCGTGGAGAACAAGACCTAATTTAGAGCTATACATGATATGTAGACAACCTATAGTAAAATTCTTCAAACAACAGAGACTTGAATGGGCTGGTCATCTGGACAGAATGCATAAAGAAATGATGTTGTAAGAAAATTTGTATAGCAATACCCATGGGAACCAGATCTCAGGGAAGACCTCCAGTGAGACGGATGGATTGTGTTGAAAATGACCTAAACATACTTAAGGTTAAAAAATGGAAAACAATTGCTAAAAACAGAAATGCATGGAGAAGGCCAGGGCCCACACTGGGCTGTTGAGCCAATAAAGAAGAGGAAACCGAAACCGTGTGAAATCATTTTGCATTAAACTATAAGCAACATCTAAAAAACAATCTTCTTGAATTCTTAAAGTTTTTTTTGGAATTTATATCATTTCAATGTTTTGCTACTTTATCTGCTTCAAGAAAGCATACAGAGTGAGACAGTTGCATAAATTCTTGATTTGCAATTAGAAAGCAAAATCTATTAAAAAGTTGCAGTATTTAAGAGCTCCAATATATAATGAAATATTATTCAAAGCATGATGGAATTCAAAATAAAAGAAGAGGGATCAACATGACTGCCCTATAAAGCACAATGCAATATTGTCCAAATTTTTTAAATCAAAGACCAAATGCTTCCATACTTACAGCAGAATTTTATTAATCATGTGGAGTATTCGTTAATAGTTTTCTGAAAGCAATCCAGTCTCCTGAGCAGAAATAGCGAGATAGCAACAAAAAATCTACCTCGGTGAAGGAACAAAAAACTTACAACTTTCAACTTAAAAAATCTGGAAGTAATAAAAATTATAAACATTTGAACACATACAATATTTACCAGAAGAAGCTAATTTAACATCACTGGTTAAGATGGTCAATTTTTTACGTAAAAACTGAAAGGAAAAATTCTGAAATTGAACTTAATTGCAAAAGCAGAATATGGCTAATGAGCAGTTATAACATGTAAATTGACACTGCCCATTAAAACCGTCATCTTTCTTTCATACTTTTCTAATAAGGATTTCCCCCCCCCCTTAAGATTGGGATATGTCTTAAGCACTAGTTTTGGTAGGCTTCTTTCCTGGCAATAAATGTATTCAACCATCACTCACACAACTATGCTTTTCATCTAATATTTTTTATCTTTTCTCCGACTAGGGATATGTCAAGTGATTAATACAAGCAGTTACCCTGTTCTTCAAGAAAGACATATTCTTTAAAAAGAAAGTCTTTGTTCAAATTACTACCTCATGAAATTAAAATGCGATTCAAAAGCAAAATATCTATGTAGCCTTTATGCTGGAATATCCAGACACAAACCTGGTTTCTCAGATCATTCATTTACTTATGGTAACAGGAGTTAAGTGTTGAGTTTTGTAAATTAAAGCTACAACAAAACAGTTGTTTGAAAAAATTACAATGAAGAGGTATGTGCCAAATCCTTTTTATCTTGTCTTAACAGTAAAACTGATAAATGCTACAGAACTGTTGAAAGCTTATTCACAAAAATAAATAAATAAAAAATAACACAGGCCTGCTCTCTCTCACACATTAGATTTTTGGAAAATTCTGTTGTGAAATTACAAAATGTTTTCTTGTTGCTATTCTTGATCATTCTTTTTTACCTAGTAGTCAGGAAAAGGCACAAGGAAAGAAATAAACTAAAATTGGCCATTAAAGGAAATGTGTGATATCAATGGCGTAGCTAGGATGGGGAAAGGAGAGACATCTGTTCTCGGGCGCAGCATCCAAGGGGCGCCAAACAAATTGATGCTTTTTAATAAACGTTTTAATGAAATGTTTTCCATTCTTGGCACACAGAAAGGGGCACAAATTCTTCAGCTGTCCCCGGGCGCTGGAAACTCTAGCTACGCCCCTATGTGATATACCTTTAATAAAAATAAAAAATAAAAAAATACCATTATTTTATTAATAAAAAAAGTTTATATCTTTTTTTAGGGGGTAGAATAGCTGAGCTTTGGGATGAGATGCAATACAGAGAGTAATAAGAAGAAAATAGATAGTCATGTAACCAAGAAATAATACAAAAATTATGAAGTAGAAACAGGAAGGGGAAATGACAGAAGTGGAAATTAAAACAGTTAAGTGTTAAATAGATTATTAATTTTTTAAAGAAATGGAAAACATTAAAAACTACAAATAAAAAACATGTTACAGGAAAATCTGCCAAATGATCTGAAAAAAAAAAGTCTTACAAAATCTGAAGTAAAGATAATTCCAAATGAGAAAAAATATTTTATACATCTTTAATTCCACTTTTCACCTGTATTACTTTTCTCATTTATTAACCTTTTGTTGGTTGTAACACATTAGACTATAATTAAATATTATTTTTAAATTAACCTTCTTCTGAATAAAGTAGAATTCTGCCTAGGTATACCATACTTACGTTCTCCGACATTTAACAAAATCTTGGCCTTTTAATTAAAAAAATTGGTTTAATCCTAGTATCCGGTGCACACGGGATTTGGCTACTTTATGATGAGCAGTAAAAACAGAACATATACGATGAAGTAGTAAACGGGTCATTCAAAGAATATATATAGTTATACATAGCGTGTACTATGTATATAGTGTATAGTAAGACGTTCTTTGGGTCATTTTTGGTGTTAACAATAATTTTCAAAATCGTGCCGAGGCTGCACCATATTCTCGGATTTTACCCAAAAATTTACTGCCTTGATTTTTGTCTTTACCAGCACTGCTGCGATTCCAACAATGAAAGTGATACTGACGTCTAATCTCTTTGACTTAAAAATAATATGTTGATATGTATGTTATATCCCATTAATGATGCTAATTACTTTTGCATATACCTGAAAAGCTTTAACTGATATTTTGAATTTATGCATAAATCTGAAAATAATTGCTGTTTACCCTGTTAAATAACATCTATTTTATTTACACCTACTTACAGACCACTAACTTAAAACTATTGCGACAAGATTCTTCTAGACCATTTTCTCAAAAACCTGTTAAAAGTTAACACTCCATAATCATTTGCAAAACAGAAAACAATACCCATGTAACTATAATTGATCAAGTTCATATTCTTTTTAGCTAATGTAACAATCCAGTTCTAGTCATAATAACTTTGATAAATCCCACCACTAACATAAAATAAGAAGATATAATTATACTAATATCAGATATTATTACAAATTCTTTTCTGCCTTTAAGAAGCAACTAATGAATGTGTTCTCATAAAAAATGTTTTGCCCAAAGTCCTGTAAAGACTGCAACAATATTTTATGCATATTTAACCCATCCTTTTTTTTTTTTTTTTTTTTTTTTTTTTCATAGCAGGTACAAGAACTTATTTTCAATAAAGTATTTTTCAGCTGAATGATAACTAAAACAAAACATTTTTTTTAACGTTAAAATAATATGCACACCAAAGACCATCAGTTTCCAATTCTCAAAGTGCACTAATAATTATTAAATCAATGGAATATTGTTTCCACTTCAAAATGATTACGGCTTATAAATTTAATTCTTATAAACATTCCTTCTTCTTCTTTTTTTTTTATCTCAAATTTTCAGACATAGCTTTCAGTCTAAAAATTCTCTCACTACTTCTGATTCCATCCCCCCTTCAGCCTTCCCGGCATCGTTTTTATATAAAAGTTCCCTTTAACCATTTCCCCTTTATATTGTAGGAAATACATTCGCAGATAACTAACAGGGGTCATTTTACCCTTAAAAGCTTATTTTAATGTCTAAAGTAAATGTACCATGACAAGAAAGCTGCTTGTAAATTGCCATACAAAACTACATTTCGGTAGTTAAATAGTCGCCTTCAAGACACGAAAAGCAGATTTTATATCTGTGCATTAATGAAACATTTTCCTAGCAACATTAGAAACTCTGATAATTTATGACGTAAACAAACACCTTGAATTGCGTTTGCTTGCATTCGAAATCTAAGTAGTTCTTCTAAAAGAATTGTTCTTTCCCTTTGTCCAAGTCTAAATATGAAATCCTGAACTTGTTGCCGTGAATGTAATTTGTCTGAAATTTTAAAACCCGTGAAACCACACCTAAATGCTGAGGTGGAAAACTGCGATGAGACGAAATTATTCCACGAATTCTTAACGAAAGTCAAACGTCTGATAACCGCCATTTGTTGAAATGCGATGATTACGATTAAATATATTTAGCGATTAAATATTCAGCGAAAAACTACTACTAAGAACATATAGTGAATTTGACTTTCAGAAAGCAGTCCCTCCTTTTACTCTGTATCACGTGAAGAACATCAGTAAAACAAAAAGAGGAAAGTTAAAGTCAGGTGGCCGCCATCACTCGACGAAAAACGTGACTTTCTGGTCGAACGTCCAAATCAGTGAAACAGCGAAAAAAAAAAAGGATGTAACAAAAAAAAAAGTTTTGTTACTATAAGTTGAAAAAGTGTAATCTTATTCCAAGAAAACAAAGTTACCAAACTTACATACTTTCCGGGCATGCAAGAAATAATTTTTCTCCCTGAACAGCAGGCACTGTTTTGCCTTTTTTCGGCATTGGCCACTCCTAAGGACAAAAGTTGTGGCCATTTTATTGTGGAGGCACCTAATAGGCGGACACCGTTACCTGCTAAGAAGGAACAGACAGTTACAACCATGCCTTCTCCAGGATTCGAACCCGGGCCTTTCGGTATCGTAGTTGGCTCCCCTAACCACTACGCCATCTGGGCGGCATGCAAGAATTCATACATACCAAAGTGCAAAATCATATGCAAATAACCAAAGTGCATTGTGTGGGCATAAGGAGGGGAGGAGGTGCTAAGTTCGGTTAATTGATTAAGCAACTCGAAGGCCGTCTGCCTAGGGTACAGATGCCTTAGTGGAGGACATTGTAAAGCCAGCAGGCTTGTCTGCACGTTACACATTAGAAAATACACAAGAACTCTTATGCAGCCAGCCCATTTGCCAGGATACTAACCGGGATGAAATTACCACTCTTCAGCAAATTTACCGTACGGCCACTGGTAGCGCAAATAAAGCTGCTAAGAGAAGAGTCTTTCAAGAACCATAACTGAAAAAATGCAAGTAATAAAGTGAGCAATAAAGAAAATCGCATGTATATCACAAAAAGCCTCCACAGAAGCAGCCGCAAGATCATGACAGGAAATCTGCAGTTCGCTTCTTCATCACAGTCATTTTCAATAATACTGTAGAGTTTCACTCACCACAGAAAGCCTTCGCTGAAAACCCTTACGAGAAGTTTTTCTACAAAATGCTACAGGAATTTCTATACAGCTCTGTCAGCTTCTATAAAAATGCTTCTTTAGGGGCACATAGCCGAACTTAGCTTACTTTGATTAAACTGGATTTGGGGTTAGAACCAATAATGAATCAGTAAAGCTGCCAGACATCTCCATTTTTTCTTGAATCAACATTTTTGGTTTCTCATTGCTCAAAAGAAAATGCATGTTTTATAATGAAAAAAAAATTGCAACCTATTTCATGCAAAAATATTGTTTTGTGAAATCTTTCTTTAAAAGATTATATGCACAGGAGTTATTCAATGTTTAGGGATCCTCACTTTTATCTATTAACTAAATGTTGACGAACCTAATGAACTACTAAGCGAATAATCGCTTAAGTCCAAAAATAGAAACATAAACTCAAGAATTACCCTGTATTGATCAAAATAAAGTTGACAGATGGTCCCTTTCTCAGAACGTACAACAAAGCCTCCACTTGCGCTTAAACTCAAAAATGTAAGAAATAATAACTTAACTAATGAATAACTAAAGAGATTTAGAAGAAGCTAACACAATTTCGATTTCTAAACTAGTTGGCACCTAATATTAAAATAGCCAGCGAAGCTATCAAGGGCACGTAATACGGCCGAGCGTAGTAACAGCTTAGAAAGACGTAGCCAAAAGGCAAACGCTCCCTATCCAAGAAACCTAATTCTCTCTCTCGAAGTTAGTGGAATGTCAACTTAAATACTTTCTACTACTCATTTACATTTAACGCTATTGTTTATGTACGCACTAATGTACACTATTCGAATCACGAATGTCGCTGCCTACGCATCTAACTATCTAACGACGTATCTAAATGCCACATCTAAATTTCTGCAAGCGGTGGTTCAGCTATAATTCTATGATCAAATACTCAATCTAGTTTTAAGAGATTTATGAAAATACTAAAATTAATCTAATCTAGAATCTAGAATCGAATCTAATGTTAGATCTCAGGAGCAGCGTTCTAGCTGCGTCATAACAAATCGAAAGTCAAGTTCTCACTGTTGCCATTCTGAGGCAGAGAAAAGTTTGTTTCTAATCAAACCGGAACTTCGGCATAGTGAAAGTTTCTAGTCAAACCGGAACATCCCGGCCCCCCTTGGACAATTGTCCAACATCATTTGGGTATGGGAGTGGACTGATATTAGAGACGGCTCGGCGACAGATTCCATCTGAAGTTCTGACGTCTACGACTCGCAGTGGCCAATCGCACCGTCAGTGCAAGAGCTAAGAGGCTATTCGCACCACCTACGTTCGCGCATGCGCACAATCAGCCCAGGTACTAGCATTTTACGCCGATTTCCGTAAGGCAGCGGGTAGCGAGAGCGAAGGTTGGTAACCCTAACTCAGCAATAGAAAGGGTTGTTAATAGTTCACTAGCATGAGAATAATTTGCAAGTAATAATTATCAGTTACATAGACGAGGTCAATCTATATATATATATAATAATGTTCAGAAAATGATTAGATAAAATAGGGATTTAATGATGGTTCTAATTGCAAGCGAGGACGTGTAATTAGTTAAAAAATCTTTAATGTATTGACAAAAAGGCTACAGAAATTACTTAAATTCTTGTATTTAAGAGAGGAATTTTTATGCAAACTTAAACCCTAGTCTTATAGCATAGGAGTGTCAGAATTTATTATTCAGTAAGAAAATTTACTGAACATTATAATATTCTTATATATTCATCACTTTTTCAGTATCCACACATGTTTATAGGTTCAAATGCCATATTTCAAAATCAAAGTTATTTATGAAATAAAACCTTATAAAATCTGATAAATCATTTGTGTGTGCATATTTTTAAATCTAAATCTCTTTCATTAAATTATTTTTGTTTTTTAAATTACATCCCATTATTTATTTAAATGTAATTTATTAATGTGTTTGTACTAATATTTCAAAGTTCTTTGAAATACTTTTGTGTCCTGAAAATGCCAAGTATTTCCATAAAAAAATAACAGGCATAAAATATTGTTAATAACCAGTATTATATGATTAATTATTCATTTAATAGTTGGTTTAAACGCTTTTAACTTATTTCATGTCTAAATTTTCTACATAGAAATCCTCTGTGTAATTTTTATTATCTTTTCTCAGACGAAAATTTTCAAAGAGGAATGAATGAAGTTTTCATTGTGCAAAACGCATCTTTGAAGCTAAATTTATTCTAAGAAGTACAAAAAATGTAAACAAGCTTTCCTTTCCCCCCAAATCAGTCATATAAACTATTCCAACCGTTCAGAAAAAACGATAAAGATTGCGAACATAAAAATGTGCCTTTTTTTATATATATTTTAATAAAAGCGAATGTGTTTCTTCTGTATATATATATATATATATATATATAAGAAAAGTTACCTATTTTCCTTTCCAATCTTTTGAAAGTCGCCAACACTTAAAGAATGATAAACTACGCCAAGGTAGTAACCCGCCTTTAAAAAAAAAAGATTCACTCTAAAACGTATTGTCTGTTCTCTTCGAATGGGTTCAAATGAAGGATCCGACAACTCAATGCGCATGCGTGATTGATGTTAGTGCGGCTAATCGCACCACCGGTGCGAATAGCATCGGCCTCTACGACTCGTACTGGTCCATCTGGACCAGGAAATATCTCATCGATGCGAGCTAGTGTCCACTTCATGAGTGTCTTGTTTTTATCCTTTAACTTTCTGAAGCCGGCTGGTACAGCAGTTGTACCAGAAGAATGACTTTCTCAGACGCCGGCATTGGTACAACTGTCGTACCATCCCTGCCCTCCCCATTTTAGAGAATTGCCTATCTGTAGATGTCTGGGTGGTCCATTGTCGCTGCTCAGAGTAGCCGCTGGCTACGCATTATTTCCCTATTCTTATCAGTTTGGCTACATTTTGGCAAAAACCACAGGTTTCGTCTCGCGCCAATATATTTGAAAATCAAATAGAGGCCATCTCTTTCTCAATCTGTCTCAGCTATGATTAAAACGTCAGCGATTTTGCACGCTCTATAAGCTTACTTTGGTGGTCGTGTGTGCTTAATGCATGATATAATTAAAGAAAATAAGAGTAGACAATCTCCTATAACAAAAGAATATATTAAGTACTAAATTACAATTTAAATTACATTGCAGAGATCAACACAGAGCTCGGAACACAGTTCGTGCTACCTTCGCGTACCGTTGTGTCACGAGAAGTCTGAGTGAGTAAAGATGTCGCTTTGCTGCTCCGATTAAGAACTGGATTTTACACGTGGCGCCATCTCAATAGAAGTTGAAGTATCTGTCGGAACGCCACAGTACTCCCCCCCAAGTACCATCGGTACGTTATAAGTACTTTGGGTTAAATTTAACCTTTCTTCCAGATCTGGTAGTTTTAGGTTGCTCTTTAACGGGATGTAAGCTTTCTTCCGGGAGTGATGTTGATGAGGAAGTTGTTGGATCTTGCATTAGAAATGCTGGTTTGAGACGATCGATTCCAATCACTGATTGTTTGCCATTGCAGATGATGGTGAAATGTTTCGGTGTTCGTTTGACAACTTTGAATGGACCATCATATGAAGGTGTTAAAGTTGGCTTAATTGCATCGTTGCGCACGAATACGTGCGAAGATGTCTCAAGCGCAGGATGTACAAAATAGCTTGGCTGGTTATGCGAAGATGCTGGGGTTGGCGAGATATTGCTCATGGTCTCACGTAAACGTTGAAGGAATGTTGGAGGGTCGATTACTGGAGTAGATTCCGGGTGAAAGAATTCACCTGGCAGACGGAGGGTTGCACCATATAACATTTCAGCACAAGTGCTACCAATGTCTTCTTTGAATGCTGCGCGAAGACCAAGCAAGACTAGGGGTAAGGCTTCTGTCCAGTGTGTGCTACTGTGGCACTTCAGACCTTGTTTGAGAGATCGGTGAAAGCGTTCCACCATCCCATTTCCAGATGGATGGTATGGTGTTGTGCGAATATGGCGAATGCCAAGAAGAGAGGTGAGGGATGCGAACAAGTGACATTGAAATTGTCGGCCTTGGTCAGTAGTGATGGTGGTAGGCATGCCAAATCT